TTTCCCTATGCTCCCCTATCCATTTTCTTATTTGCAACCATGGGTGTAAATTATTAGCTGCTTAGTGCAAACCCCATGGCTTCATGTTTCTACAGCTCCTAGCGCATTAGGGAGGCCTGATCCATGTTGGAATGGTTGGGTGCTACTGCAGTACAAATACTAAATGGTATTAAAATAAATCTTCAGTAGGTTTTGAGTCTCAAAGTAATTTTCCATGTCCTTTGTATTATGATGTACCTTCATTTATTGAGTATCTTTTACTACGTGCAGCCTCATTTCTAAGAGGTTTCATAGGCAGTGATGCTTTTCCTGCTCGGTGGACTATTCTTGTTTCTTAAAGTTGCAAATTAGATTTATAAGTATGCTATCTGATCTAGTTACATTAGTAGATTTTTAGATTAGCATAAATAAACAAGACATGAAACCACAGAAAAATGGGAGTAATCTTAAACATGATGCCTATCAAGAGCTGTTATGTAATTTTGAGGCTTCAGCATGCTGCTGATAAGGTGAAAATTACTTAGCGAATGTGTGTATGCTGCTCCTTTTCTAAATGTGTGAGCTACTAGAAGATCTGAAACTCCACTCAAAGGAAACCAGAGAGCTGTTTTAAGGTGGCTGGGGATATACGAAGCTGGTGTAACTTCTCAACAAATCAAACCGGAGAAATATTATATAACCTTGGCTTCATTCCCCCCTGTGATGGAGCCAATTGTTTAGAAGCATGCTACAATTAACTGATTTCAATGTTATGCCTAAATGAACATGTCTTAGAGCTTAAGGGAGCATTTGGATGAATAAGGGGTAGTATACAATTGGCCAAGGAACAAAACCCAGAAGAAGTATGGCTCTGAGAAGATTGATTTCATCTTGCTTTGTGGGTGAGATGAATTACTGGAGCCCTTGAAATGGTCCATCTTACCTTCCCACCTGGTACCCGGCCAGCTGTTCTGATCAGTAAGAATATAGACCCTGGCCAAAGTCACTCTCTTCCCTATCCACTTGCTCACAGAGGGTGCGGCGTGAGAAGCTGCTTTTTCCAAAGGGAGGCCAAGAAAGACTGTGTGAATTTGGAGGGAGCTGAGTAAAACTGGGCATCCTGCAGTTAATCCCCTTTGAAATCACTGATAATAATAGAGGAGTCAAGTGCTGACCAATAAGAGTATTGCTTCTTGGCCCATGGCAATAAATTGTGTCCTTTCGGCGTTTAACCTCTCCTAGCATAGAGATGAACTCGCTCAGATATTTCTGTGGCTAAGCGTTGCCCATGATTAGCTACAATAACTGTTAATTGAATTTGTGATTACACTGGGCCTATTTTATGAACACCCAGAACTCGCCTATAGCCTAACTTAAAATTAACTGTAAATGTCTACATGTATAACGAAGCTGTTGTTGCTAAATTTGCTCAAATATTCAATTTGTTCCGTTCCAAGTATTTCTAATCAATATGGCATTCTAGCAGCAAAATTATGTAATAAAAGCCATTATTAGGATAATATTGTGTTCTTTTGTTGATGCCCACGACTGATAGCTAATCTTTACTTTAATTAATTTTTGTGATTAGTTAAATTGAAACCACTCTAATTTCTCATTTTTTGTTTGGATTTATTTTTTCCCAGCTTATGAAAAGTTGGCAGAATTGACTAGGAATTTATATTCTGATATTAAGTAACTTTTGAGTTTATTGTTCAGCATTTTAGGCATGGCAGATTCCCGCCCCCACCCCATTCCAGCTGGTTGAGTATAAATACAATTAATGAATTTCTAAGCAATGTAATAGAAAGTCATAGAAGTGTAATGATGTTTTGAAAAGTGATAGTCTTCATGGTTTGAATTAAAGGTAATTTGCTAGTGTGGTAATGATCTAATGATTTTTTTTTTTTTACTATTCTAATATGTAAATATAGACTATTTCATGTTGCAGAAAAGATTAGGTTATACTTTTAACTTGAAGAAAATCTGCTAATAATGAGAATGAAGTTACATTTTTTCCCTGGTGATGCTCAGATTGTGCCCCCATCATTCATCCTTACATAACTCAAAGGACCTTAGCTTAAGAAACTGGATCTTTTCTAGAAAACACTGTTTCCTTTGACATGAGTTTAGCATATCCCCTGTTCTCCTTTTCACTGTAGCATAGCAGTGTCCTTCTCGCATTACACACTGATGCACAGTAATTACACATCTACTACAGTATTAACCTTCAGGACGGACCTCCTAATGAAGACACTAGGCCCAAGTCCAATCATGAATGTTACAAACCCAGCACTGACATTGTTAAACAGTTATGCACAGAGCCTTAACCATTAGCCCTCTTATGAACAGAACCAATGTTAACTTCTCTCGGGTAGAAGGACCGGGGAGTCTTTCCTTTATAATCTACAGCTAACCGAGCCCACTAGATACCTGTAAATTACTTAAAATAATCCTTAACTCCATGCCTACCTGTAAGGGATAAACAGAAACAAGAAATGATAGGATTCTTGTAATAGTGCCTGTTTCTTCCAAGGTTTTCAACCTCAGCTGTGCAAATGTGAGCTTATCAGCTATAAAGTTTTTGGGTATCAAATGATCAGTCCAGTTAGACTAGGAGCGGGCAAAATATGACCTGCAGGCCAGATCTGGCCTGCAGAGGGGCTTTATCTGGCCTACAGTGGGTCCCTTGGTCCCACCTGGCCCAAGTGCTGCCCAGCTGTGGCACGCCCTGCAGCACCCTGGGGACACAGCGGGGCTGGGGCGGGTCTGCAGCTGGACCACCTTTCTAGGCAGCCCAGGCAGTGGCAGCACCTTCTGGCTGTTGCCAGCGCCTGCCCCAGCCCCGCGGTACTGGCAGGGTCCTGCACGTGCAGCCCTGACCTGGCATGCCCCACGCCGCCTCCTGGTCCAGATTTGCCAGTCCAGGCTCGGCAGCAGCGCTGGGCAGAAACTGTTGCTCGGCACCGAGGGGAAAAGTGGCGTCTCCCCCTCGCTACTGCCAGGCAGTTCTTGGTGCAGCCACCCAGAGCCCGCATCGCACTAGGCTGTCCTGCAGCTGCTCTGCACTGTCACCACTGCTGCGCTGGGCAGCCTGGAGGCTGCAGTGATGGTGGTGAGAGGGGGCAGCCCAGCATGGCATGGGCTCTGGGTGGCTGCACTAAAGAACTGCCTGGCAGCAGCGAGGGAGAAGGGCCACTTTTACCCTGCACTGAGCAACAGTTTCTGCCCATGGATGTTTGATTTTTAGTATATAATTAATTTGTTTTTTCTGGTTTCAAGATAGCAAACCCACATCCCAAAAGGAGTACTTCCTGGGGCAATGGGAGGGACTTCCAGTGGCAGAAGTCAGGGGGTGGGACTTCTAGTTTCAAGGTAACGGCCAGGGGGTGGTGCTTGTCAAGGGGCAGGCCACCCTTGTGGCCCTTGACAGCTCACCAAAACTCATTAAGCAGCCCTCCAGCCAGAATAATTGCCTGCCAATGAATTGGACTGTGGTTTATCTGTCACTACAGATCTCACTGCTGCCCAATAACACAGAAGAAAATAAACTCATTCATTCCTTATGAAAACCTCATTGAGGCTGTACGAGTCCAGCTGTGTCCACTGCCAGTGCCGTAAACCAAACCAGCCCTGCAGGATGCCCGGTGTTTCCTTGTGAGCATGACCAGACATTGATGAAAATAACAAGCCCACACTCTCTGAAACCAGCAAACCAAGTGGTAGCTTCTTTTCCTGAAACTGTATTTCACATCATCTGGCTTTGGTAGAGCTGTTTAGGAAATGATTTTTCTGTCCCATGTGAATTTTTAAGATTTCCAAGGTTCCTTCCATACTAAACTGTCCCTTTTAAAGACTTGTAAACTGGTAACATTGAGCTCATTTGGATTGGGGGAGGTCAAAACTAAAACTGAGTATTTTCATTTAACTAATTTTTATGTGTGTCTGAATTGTGAGATTTGAATCTGATCTTTTGCCATAAACAGTTTTAGGTTTTTGCAGTGGCAGATTGTTCTATCAGAACAATTCCTGGCAAGCTCTGGTTTCCATTACCTAACCCATTCGCATAACGATGCCATCAAAATTTCCCTATGCTCCCCTATCCATTTTCTTATTTGCAACCATGGGTGTAAATTATTAGCTGCTTAGTGCAAACCCCATGGCTTCATGTTTCTACAGCTCCTAGCGCATTAGGGAGGCCTGATCCATGTTGGAATGGTTGGGTGCTACTGCAGTACAAATACTAAATGGTATTAAAATAAATCTTCAGTAGGTTTTGAGTCTCAAAGTAATTTTCCATGTCCTTTGTATTATGATGTACCTTCATTTATTGAGTATCTTTTACTACGTGCAGCCTCATTTCTAAGAGGTTTCATAGGCAGTGATGCTTTTCCTGCTCGGTGGACTATTCTTGTTTCTTAAAGTTGCAAATTAGATTTATAAGTATGCTATCTGATCTAGTTACATTAGTAGATTTTTAGATTAGCATAAATAAACAAGACATGAAACCACAGAAAAATGGGAGTAATCTTAAACATGATGCCTATCAAGAGCTGTTATGTAATTTTGAGGCTTCAGCATGCTGCTGATAAGGTGAAAATTACTTAGCGAATGTGTGTATGC